ACGTCGCTTTTGCAGTATTCTTAGGGGGTATTTTTTGGTCTTTCGCAGGTCTTTCCTTTCCCAGTTCCCAAAAGGAATCCTTTGAATGCACGCCCCCATGCGAGAGACATGCCCCAACCAAAGCCGGGTTTTTGCTTCAGTAGAAGGTACATTGCTGGCTTTCCTGCTCTTTAAAGTTCACTTTACTGGGAAAAAAAGTCGGGCCTATTACCAAGAAGCTTTCATACACGCATGTGGACATATTCAACTTTGCAACAAAACGAGCTCACCCCCAGCTCCCCACTTATGATGACAAATTGGGCCGGGAAAATGAAATTGGACGTTCTTCGTGTTTTTTTTTGTTTTTTTGTTGTTTTTTTGTTTTTTTGGGGGGTTTTTTTTTTTTTTTTTTTTTTTTTTTTTTTTTTTTTTTTTTTTTTTTTTTTTTTTTTTTTTTTTAGGAACGGGTTAAAACGGAAGTCATAAAATTTTTTTTGGTCCTATCCGGACTTTTTGTTTGAACACTGTTGTGCGTTGGGAAAAAATTGCAAAGGCCCTTTCTATTCTCTGCGTTCAGGGCCTAGGTATTCACTCATATACAACCCAAAAGCTTGGTTTAAAAACCAATTTGGGGGGGTTTCCAATTCATCCAGCACTTGCGTGGATTTCCGTTACTGTTCTTTTCTAAACCATGACAATGAGACTAAAGCCTTTTCAGTTTCTCTGACATGATGCTGTTTAAGATCAAGCTCTTCACCCCCCTTCCCCCACCCGATGGTCACAATTGATACAGTACTGACTGACTGACTTCTACCCCACCAGGACATCACACAAGCGATAAACACCCGATGACACAAAGTGCCACCATGCGGATGAGGATCACCATGGAGAGGTCCCAGAAACCGCGTTCAGACAATTGGCCATATTGATGGCCCGCCTATATTGCGGCCCCTGTCAAAAGCCAGAGTGGGGCTTCAAATAACAAAAAATTACATCCTAAGAAGGACGCAAGGAATATCAGAATAGTAAATTGATACAGTAGAATATCACTTTTCCTTCTTTTATTCGTGCATTATAAGAACTTGTTTTCTGCAACAAGTAATTTCAAATGCCAGGTTGTTATTGTTTATTGATTTCGACATGGTCCATGGCTCACGTCCTCATGGTGCCACATGAACGACTATAGTCGTCCACGTGTGGGATGCAAATGTTTTTAAATTTAAAGCCACACCCTGGCTTTTGCCGGGAGCCCTGAATATAGCCGGCACGGGTAATCCTCATTCGCATGGTGGCACTTTGTGTCACCGGATGTTTATCGCTTGTGTGATACAATTACCTACATGTACTCTGCATGCTTGAGTTGCGCCACGAATTCTAAATGCTACTTAGCATCTGGATTATTAAAACCAATCTTCTTGACTTTTTTGGTAAATAACAGGGGGAACCTTTGAGGCCGTTAAATTTTATGAATTAATCAAGTAACAGAAAGTGTATTGATCTGCACTCATAGAAAGAAGTAGAAAGATAGAAGAACACACTTGACAACATGTTGTCTAATGTGTTCATCCATCTTTCTACGAGTGCCAATCAATACACTTTCTGTTACTTGATTAATTCATTGACTTTTTTGTGAAGTCTCCATCCACTATTGTTAATTGTGGAGCCACGATATTCAAAGTTAATAAATTTATTATACATAATAGACATGTATTGATCGGCACTCACAGAAAGAAGTAGAAAGATAGAACGACACATAAGGCAGCATACCAGTCGAAAGCTATAGTTGCCATGCCTGAAACTGAGCCTTTCACCTCAAAATGACAAACACATCTCACTGCAAGAAGACAAGTGTACAAATACGCATGACCAGCTATGCACCCCTATAAAGCAATGTCTATCATACAGCCTGAACCTACAATTTGGAATGTTTTATTTATGTGATCATCATTAACTAATTTTTAAAACCGATATGTAATTTTACCTGTGGATTATTGTTGATTTTTTTTTTTTTTATCAAGCTCAGAAGAAGATCTTGACTTTCCCCTTTCAATACCGGACACTTTAGAAGTCTATGTACTTTGGAGCAAGTTTTTGAATTTTAGTGAACTAAAATAGTCACTCCACACACATACAAAAACAAAAATGATAACAGTTATTTGCGTGTCTTTTATTGCAGAAACAATCCAAGCTTTGTTTTACCATGGTGTGTGGCTGCAGTGGTTTACCATTGCTTTCTTAACATTTGGAGAGAAAAGGGCAACATTAGAAAATAGTATTGTCAACTTTTGATGTACTGTCTTCCAGAAATCTGGACAATGAACAAACAATTAGGAACTATTTTTCTTTGCGTTCACCAGCTGCAAACTCTGGCAGAAAGTTCTGATTGTTTGTCCACCTCTGGACTATAGTCTTGTTTCAGAACATGAGTGTTGCGTGCACATCCGTTTAACAGATCTGACTTTATTGTATGCAGATTATTAGTTCCTTGCTTCTCAGGCAGACTCACTCCGACGACTCTTACGACATGCTTGGGCAGTGGGTCTACTCTTGTTTTCCCAACAATGGGGCCCCGAACCCACACAGGGAAATTAAGAAATCAGACTGACCCTTGGAGATGTGAATATGTAACAAAATAGGTAATTTTTCATGGAAATAAAGACAGTAAAATAGAGGTTCTAGAGACTGGGAATGAAAAGAGACTTGCTGAAAGCAATTATTCCTTTGTGGGTTATGAAAGCCCATTTTTGTGTGGGAAAATATATTTTACTCTGCCCTCCTAAAAAGCATGTCGTAAAAGTTTACTAATCAGGAGGTGTTTCCTTTCAAATCAGATTACATCCGCCTGAGGTGAGGGACCAACGGTCTGCACACATAAGCTATATCTGTAAAATGGATGTGCAGAGAAACCTCAAGTTCTGGAACAAGACTAAAATCCAGAGCTTTGGGGAAGCTCTCAGATCTCAATTTGACATCTTAGCTGGTGGCCCATGGTGGATTAAGAGCATGTGCACATAATCCTGAAGAAGTGTTTTCTTGTAAATCACTATGCAGCATAGCTTTAACGCATTTTCATACTTGCCCTGTCTCCTTAGGTTATGCATACACACAAAAACAGAATAATAACACTGTAATCCAGTTTTTATATTTAGACGTAGAGATGAATCAATTTTACAAATCTGCATCAATGAGGACTACTGGGACAGCAGGAATTTGCTAGTAACTGCCTTATCATGGCTCCTATAATACATGTGTTGTGAAAGGTGATCATACATGCACCTTAGCACAGCCTAATTGTGTGGCCCTTTAACTTCCTGACTGCTCTATACTCTTCAAGCTGAATCTGTTTGAAGGAGCATAAAAACTAACATTGCATCACCTCTTCTCGGGAGCTGTGGTACATACCAGTGTCTTGGTTCTTACCTGCCAGCCCAGCAATCACTGGTTGAAATCCTCATTGGGGAAGAATAAGAAAACTAAAATGACTTTGACTCCCAGGTCAACCCAGCCTAAAATGGAAGTGTCCTGGGAAATAATGATGGCCACATCACCCACTGAGGGTAGATTGATCTGTACAAATATTGGTCTAGCATCAGAGATCCAATGACCCGCCAACATGAAAAGGGTCCTTTACCTCGTATACACATACTTTTCAGCCAAACAATTGCCCAAACGTTCACCCCACACACTACAAAACAATACTGTTCAACAGATATTTTGACACAAAGAGTCAAGACTTGAACACATTTTAAATGTTGTCATTTTCAAATCCTTTACTGTTTCGTCAAATGCTGATTAAAAAAACAAAATGACATCCAGTCACAACAAACAAATTAATCCTCCATAATCCCTCCTTGTATGTAAAGACTGGAGCATCTGTGTGTGTATTCTATAGCCTTCTGATATAAGGCCACATCTGAAACAGAAAATATTTTTACAGTGATCATTTTATTTGATGTCAGCAATAACATTTTCTGGTCACTGTAAGTTTCAAAACAATCTTAGAACAGTCTTTTCTATCTAGCTCTTTTTTTCACCAAAATATTATAATTTAAGAAAAAATGTTCACCCACATCAGATCAACAGATTTATATGTATATGCAGACAATTAATATTCCACGGAAGAAGGGTGACATATTCGATTAAGAGCAGAACAGACAAGTAAATGCTGCATTTCAGAAGATGACATTCACCAAGTGTCAGAAAGAGTACTGAAATGCTACATAAAAATTGTTGCACCATTTTATTTATAAAATGCTGATTTTCTTTATTTTATTCTGTTCTTTATTGCTAAGAGACATCTTTCACAGGAAGGCAAAAAATAAATATTAACCTCCACAGTCTAGAGCATCTGCACCACTTCTTCCACCCTAAAACAGGAGGCTCTTAACCTTCTGTCCTATACTGCACTGAAAAGTGGTAATTACAGTTTAGACTAACATAGTAGCAGGATTTTTCTCTCTGAAAGTATGCAGAACTGGCAACTTTTTCTAGGCATCACATTTTTTTCAGCACTGATGTGATATAGACACTTTGTAGTTAGTATTGGCACCTTTATTTCTAGAAAAAAAAACAGTGCAGTAATATTTTGGTTCAAATATAAAGTTCCACCTTAATTTTTATAGATCGTGTACCCAAGGAGTGACAGAATAATTTCAACAAGTGACATGGACATATTTCTTTCAACCTACCAAACTGTTGAGATTCTTCTTCTGAGAAAGTAACAAGATGATCACAGCGCAGTGAGTTCTTGGATGTGACTGTTCCGTGTACTTCTACTAGGCCAGACACCCTTTGATTCAGCTGTAGAAATATGGATAAAATAAAGAGAATTATATTCCACTACACACTTTATGAACATACACTTCAGTTTCTATTAATGTTGGATACAAGCTAAACTAAAAGGATTAAGTGTTACATGAAAAATAACTGCAGGATTAATTCACTTGTGTTCCAAATGACTTCTAATATGCGTTAACGCCCATGCATTGTGGGTGGGCTAATAAAGGCCCGTGGATTTCTGAGCACGGCATCTATGACGGCCACCAACTCTGAGAAGATCCTTTGCCAGCTCTGTTAATGTTCATATGAGACATCTGTGGTGCCAGATCAGGACACATGGCAGGCTTATTACTTGAGATTCCATAAAACCAGCCCAGAGTCTTATACAATCACAACTGCCTTAACTTTCCCCTCATGCCTGTAATTGGAATCAGCAGACTACAAATGCAGACAAACAATATTTAGAAACTAATTCAAATGTTAAACATCTGAGAAGAATCAATAACTATTCTTCTTATAGTCCATGACATGCGATCTAGTCAGTCAGGTCAATCAGGTGTCGTCTCCACAGTGACACTTGGCTGCATCAATCTCCAACAAGCTTTGTCTCTTGTCCTGGTTGTAAACTCTCTCAGATTGCTGCCAGTCCATCTTTTGATGTTGTTCTCACACTTGTATTGTTGCCTACCTCTTGCTCTCTTACCTTCGACCTTTCCCTCAAGTATGGTTTTTTAAAAGCGTGTTATGTCTTTTAATATGGTCAAGTATTTCTATTGTCTCTTTTTTTATTTCTTTCAGTAATTCTCTTTTCATTTGTAGCCTTTCCAGAACCTCTGTATTGGACTTTTTTGTTTCCATGAAATACAACCTATTCTTCTGTACACCCACATCTCCAGAGACTCAATTGGATTTTCAAGCTGCTTGTTCATTGTCCAAGTTTCTGCATCATACACCAGGACTGATTATACTTAACATTTGATGATTCTCGTTTTTAGTGTGTTGTTTATCTCTCTAGCTGTCAGTAACTTGTGCATCTTAATGAAGACAGTTTCGCCATTCCTATTCTCTTTTTTTAAATTTCTGTCTCCTTTCTTCCATCATCTGTTACTGCATGTCACAGATAGGAAAAACTTGTTACTTGTCCTATTAGCTCTGTTTATTTTGAAGTTCACTGTTGGCCGTTCTTTTCCATTGTTAATTACTACAGCTTTTGTTTTTTAAATGTTAATGTCTAAACCACACCCTGCACATCACCTGTTGACTTGATCAACTAGTTAGTGGATGTCTATCCAGAACCTTGCGTCTCATATACTTTCAACCAATTCTGACAAAGATGATCTGACACGCCATGATGTCAAACTGTCCAGCATCTTTTCTCTGTCTCCTTCTGACCCCCCCCCCCTCCTCCACCAACTTCATTTTTTCTAGTCACAATGTACTCCAGCATCTTTCTCCTCGTGACATGACAAAAAAAATGTAAACTCACCTTTGGCTGTAGGCGATCAGTTCTCTTAGTAAGTCAGTTTTAGTACTTTTCACCTATTTTATCGGCTGCGAGATTTGGCACAGAATTTCCGGGGAGGCCCGATTGGGGGGGGGGGGGGGGGGGTTCCTTTTTTTTTTATTTTGTTCACCTGAAATAGATTATCTATATCTGCAATGTCATCTCTGGTATGAACTTCACTGTATTCTGTAACTCACTTAGCGACCTGTAAAGTCCGACTTGAACCGGTGTTGGAAATTATGACACAATAAATGATGTGAACATGCTGAAAACAACAAACACATGACACACCTAGAACACAGCAGTTTTAGTGTTGTAGGGTTACTATTAAATGAAACAATGAGTAACCTTACCCCCATCCCAATACTAAAGGGCCTTCCGAGGAACTCCCTATCAAATCTCGCAGCCAACCAGATGGGATGAAAAGCTGAAAAGAACTTCAGTTTCTTTCAAGACATTTTCATCACTCTTTATATTTGTCCTTGGTATTCTCACCATTTGTCTGCACAACTACATCTCTGATGCTTCAAAAATCAATTTCTCACTATTTGCCCAGCTGTCCATAATTTGCTTCCATTTATTAGAATAGCATTTATATAGCTCTTGAAAATTCTCTGTCTCAGCTAACAAACAAAGACTGCATAGAATATTCTTCATTTTGTAAAATGCTGCCTTTTCTTTAGCTACTCTACATTTAACTTCTATCTGCTTTATCAGGATACCCAAGTACTTTTATAATATCAAAATAAAACCTTACAGGATCTTGCATTTGGATTTTGACATCTTGATTATCGCTTGCGGTCAAAGTGAAAAATTGGCCAGCACTGTCGACCTATAAATAACAAGATAAAGAATTGTGTAACAGATGACAAGTCACATGAACATTCAAAAGGTCAGGCTCAGCAAATTACTAGACATAGCATGTCTTAATATACACCAAAATATCTTCTGTAACAGAGAAGATTTACTGAAATTATCACACACATTCTCATAAATACACTAACAGCTATATGAAGGCAACACTTAACGTCTATATTGAGGTTGTGGCAGTGATGGTTGTTGAATAAATGAAAATGAAACTGTTTTAATAAACTCTTTTCTTCTTTTTCTGTGTTTACTGGGTCTTGGTGTGAACTTCAGAGGATAGTCCTAGCTGATCATCATGTCATGTGTCTGGACTTTTTCAAGGACTCGTAAGTTGCGTGTATATATTGTTTTCCAGATCTGGCTTACTGTGTGCAGACTAGTGGCACTCCTACTTTAAATGAAATGTCACTCATCTATGTTGGTCAGGACCCTGGAAAGGAAACTTTAGAGGATGACCACAAACAAGTGAAGATAGGTCTTGACCAGGAGCAGCACTGTACCTCTGATGAAGTATAAACAAATGCCCCCCCCCCCCCCCCCATGAACACAAACACAACCCTCGCAATGCTACTGAGTTACTGAATTCTTCTTCACGATCATGTGCCATGCACTAAACGTAGGCTGCCATGTTTCTTTATCGATCATGTGCCATGCACTAAACGTAGGCTGCCATGTTTCTTTATCTCATTTAATCACTAGAACCATGGATCAGGTCAATATTCCTGTTTCGCCACATTCATGTGTCCAAGTTTTCCATGTACTTGTTTGTTTATTACTAATATTACTCTTGCTCTTTTTCCATCAATCCTGCCAGTCGTTATCAAGTTCTCAAGTCCATTCCTTAACATAAGTTAGTTGCGTATCTTTTACAGGATGTTGCAGAACCAACCTCAGCATTTTTTCACTGCTGTAGTTTTTCAAGGCAAATTATCACAAGTCAGACAGCATCAAAACACACTGCTGCGTTAAATCATTAACAAACAAGTCAAAACTACAGAGTAAAACTAGAAGCAGAATACACAGCAGTGGCTAATTTGATTCAATATTTGCATTTGCCTAATGGTTTGAAAGTTATAGGCTTCCTAGGAATCATTGCTGGAGCTATGGAGGTTGTGCTCTGGATATCGTTACTGGCAGCTGGATAAACAATGTGCAAAGAAAAATCAACCCATATGATATAGGGTAAAATCAAGTGGGCTATCCTCCAAATAACGGTCCCAAATTATCGAGGTTGAAAATATACCCTAACAGGGCCTCAGTCAGAGGTAAATTGCGGACTTCTGGCGACTACCGCCACCGCCGAGAGTATCTTCCATGCCGCGTGGAGCGGGGCTAAACCAGATGGCTAGGACTCATGAGCAAATAAAATTAAGGAAGCTGCAGGAGATGCGGTAGCTGATGTTCGTGAGTCCTAGCCATCTAGTTTAGCCCCACTCGAAACCGCGCGAAGCGGCGTGGGAGATACTCTCGGCAGTGGCGGAAGTCGCCAGAAGTCCGCAATTTAAGTCGCCGGAAGTTCGCAATTTACATGTGACCGAGGCCCATTATTCGGAGGCTAGCCATCAAGTGCTTTGACGTAACAGTTAACAGACGTGGACTTGCAAAGGGCTCTCCTCCCAACTTCTACCCGATATTATAGCGGCCATAAAATATCCTTACGGGGCTTAGGCATATGTAAAATGCGGACTTTCTGCCAAGCAACAAATCGCGGCAAAACTAGGATTACTTGACAATTTCAAGAGATGCAACATTGCTAAACTAGGAGCCTGGAACTCACAAGCAAATTAATTGGAGGAAGTTGCAGGAGATGCGGTAGCTGCTGCTAGTGTGTCCCAGCCATCTAGTTCAGCCCCCATCCAAGCCGCGCGTAGCGGTGCGGGGGATACGGTCGGCGGTGAGGCATAGTCACAGAAACAGGTCCGCAAGTAGCATAGGCTCTCCTCCGAACATCTACCCCCGCATTATGGCGGCATGAAATATCCATTTGGGGCTCCGTATAACGAAACAAATGCTCTAACAGGGTCTCAGCGATGTTACTTGCGGACCTGTTTTTTATTGTTTCTGATTACGTGACAATTTTAAGAGACGCAACACAGCAGACGATAGTAGCAGACGATAATAGCGACCGTTGACACTTTCCATTGGCAGAAAGTCCGCATTTTTCATTGGACTGAGCCCCGAACGGATATTTCAGGCCGCCATAATGCGGGGGTAGAAGTTTGGAGGATAGCCGTAACATATCGCTGAGACCCTGTTAGTCTACTATACTATCGTCTGCAGTGTTAGTGTTGCGTCTCCTGAAATTGTCAGGTAATCAATCAATCCTAGTTTTGCCGCGATTCGTTAGTCGCCGGAAGTTCGCATATTTTTTATATTTTATAGGACGTAAGGATATTTGTTCGGCCGCCATAATACCGGGGTAGAAGTTCGGAGGAGAGCTAAATTATAAATATTTTTTCAACCGTGCAAACAATTTCAAACTACTTTTTTTTTCCTCACTTACATTTTTAGCAAAACCAAGTAGGCAAACTTGTCTTCCATGAAAATTAGGCAAAAGAGAGGCATTAACACGCGGCTTAGTCTGCTCATTAAGACTCATCTCAGAAGATATTTATTCGGGAACTAAATATTGATGGGAACTGGTAACTGCTTCTACTTGTCGGTGAACAGGAATATTTCGCGGGATCTGTAGAAATTTGTGTCTCAGAGTTATCTCCCGCTCGGGGTTTTTTTTTTTTTTTTAAATTCCCTCAAAGTAACGAAACAAAATACCGAAATTCTTCCAGATAATTCGATTAGTAATCAAACGAGAACTCCGACAATATACATGTTCTGTACTGCACAATATATTGCTTGTCGTCTGTGTTGCGACAAGTTCATTATTGCAGTTTACATCAACATATAATCAAGCACAAAACAATAATTGGATCTGGTTGTTTGCGGAAATACATATGACAGTAGATCGGTTTAAAGCAGAAAGATCAAAGGAAGCTACGCTGTAAGGACATACATAAACGCAGCCTGAAAGACACTAACATTGACAAAGACACTGGGGAGGGAAAAGCTGCAGACCGATTCCTGTGGAATCAGATGGACTGTCCAGCGCCTTCTCCATTTGTTACATTCTGCAAGAGGTTTAACGCAGGAAGCTATAGAGGGAAGACGTCTGAGAGACAGTCCGCCTCACTATAAAAAGAGTATTTACATTTTTGTAAACCATGTGGCAGAGCAGGTCACATACCAGTAACGGGACATAGCATAAAAGTGACACGACCAGACGAAATTACAGTCAAAGCGACACAACACGCATAAGACATGGAAGAGTGAATATCACTACGTGTGGAAGTACTCGTTTTTTTTTAAATGAATGTAAGCACAGGCATTGGTAAACGCATATGAAAGAGTTTGCGTGTGTACGTAATGTCAATTAGGTATGCATATACGGATAAGTATGAAAGGACGTACAAATATGTAGTGTTGTCTGCATGTATGAGTACTCGAGTGCATGTACGCATACACCTAGTTGGGTGCGTCCATATACTCCGGGGATTCATAAACAAAACCATCCCACTCCACAACATGCATACAACATGCACATGACCGACAGGACTCATAACAAAAATATGACTGACAGCAAATAGGGAATACAAGTGACTCGATAATGACAGGACTAGAACGCATAGCCTCCAATACCACCCCATCACTGGGATGATAGCAAAGGTTGGTAACGTGATACACATAGTCCCGGCAAAAAGCCACGCTAGAATCCAGCAAGACGGCAACGACGAGAATTGACTGAATGGCCTCCCGCTCCCCTTCCCCCCACCTTTCCCTAAATCTTTCGGATGCACTATGAGTTTAACCCCCCAACCCATTCCCACAGAGAGCACTTGAGTTCGTTGCCCAACATGCCACAACAATTCTCATCGCCGATCATTTGGATCTCAAAGCGTGAGCTGGACGGTCCGGTTATATGGTATTTACGTACACCGGAGCTTAGCTATCAACACAACCCGATCACATAATAACAAATGACGACTGGACTCGCTTAAGACTCCACACAAACTCCCACACACATATCCAATACATGACTAACCCGTTCATATTACAGGAAGACAACTATAAGACCACTATGGTCATACGCGGAAAATTTTCACATTTCGGAACTATTCACATTCAAAAACTGTTTTCAGTACTTTTTGGAAAATTAAAATACTCAAAATTTTAAAACAATAAATGGTGGCCGAAAGGTCGTTGTGTTTGGAAGCTCGCTCTCCTTCGAGATACGCCTAGCCAGATCAAAGGGAGACAGAACAAACAGGAAACACCACGAATGAAGAAGGAAGACTTGCACCAGTGACAACAGGACGAGCGGTTTGATACGGAGGGAAGCATTAAGCCAGAAATGGCACAAACACCAGTATTCAGTCACGAAAGTGACGCAAATAACCCAGACCACAAATATAGGCGGAGACTGTTAGCAGCCTAGGCTAGCTAGCAGCAGTCTGAACGTGGTCGAGCTTTTCTTTTTTTTTCTTAAAAGGACTTGGACTTGGACATGTGGCAGAATCAGCCATTCCCGCAAGACTTTACAGTCATAACCAGCCCCCAATCTCACCTAGCCCCTCCCCCTTAAACATTTTCTAGACAAAAATGCAAAAATGGGTGGTCTGTGAGGGGGGAGGGTGGGGGAGGTGCTGAGGTTATCAATTAGTTACAATATTATTGCTACTTGAGCACACACACACACACACACACACACAAACAATTTAGTAAGGGGTTCAGACACTTAAGGCTCCACCACTACCACCAGCCCTACAAATTAAGAAAACATTGGGGTTCCAACCATATCCCCACTCACTACCTTTTAAAATTGCTAGGGAAATAATTGGAAGGGGTGAGGAGCTCAAGTCCTTGAACACAAAATATTACCGAAGTTAAGAAAAAAAAAAGGGGGGGGGGGGTATAAAAAGCATCGCAAAAGGCCAGAATACGGCCTTATAATATTTATACAAATTATCTTTTAAGGTTTATTTATTATTTCGATTATATTATTATAATTATTGTCAATTCAGCACATTACGTGTTTATTGTAGTTAATTATTATTATTATTATTATCATAATTGTTAATACTGTAATGTTTTATTAATGTGATGCAAGGCAAATAAATATAAGATGCTTGAAATATCTAAATCAACATTTTAAAGAAAGCATCTATACATGGTAAAAGGCAACGTATGGGTGTGAGTCGTTGACCCTGACTCAGTCTTTGAAGAAAACAATCGGAGCTTTTGAACTAAAATGCTATAGAAAATGTCTTAGAGTATCTTATAGCAAAACGAAGAAAAGAAAACAATGCCGATATTCCGCAGACCTTAAGATCAAGGATAGCCGCTACGTTCACGTTTTGTTTGTTTTTGTTATATTGTGAAGCTAGCTAATATACTTTTCGTTCGGTTTTATTTTTTCTTAAGATCAAGGAGAATTGGCTCATGAGCAGCATCCTGTCCCGACAGCTGGAGTATTTTCATCCTGTCCCGACAGCTGGAGTATTTTCATCCTGTCCCGACAGCTGGAGTATTTTCATCCTGTCCCGACAGCTGGAGTATTTTCATCCTGTCCCGACAGCTGGAGTATTTTCATCCTGTCCCGACAGCTGGAGTATTTTCATCCTGTCCCGACAGCTGGAGTATTTTCATCCTGTCCCGACAGCTGGAGTATTTTCATCCTGTCCCGACAGCTGGAGTATTTTGACCATATCAAGCGCCATGGTGGTGTGGCGAGAACGGTGGCGGAGGGTGCAGTTTCATAAGCACGATGCAAAGGCCGACCTTCCCCAATATGGATACAGAAAATGGAAGAAGCATTTACGATGATAGCACACCAGGCTGGAAAGTTCGCTAGAGAAAGAGGGCCTGCTGACTGTGCTTTATGGGACATTGGGGGTAGTCGAAGAAGAGGAGGAAAAAGAAGAAGCTGGAATGACAACATCCTGAAATGGAAAAGACTAACATGTCACTCAATTATTCATCAAGCGGAAGACAGAGAAAGATGGCGGGTTTTATGTGCTAGAGCTTCCATCAATACACCTCTACGACCATAACGGGTCAAGTGTTATGTATGTTTATATAGACTGCTTCCAAAACCAGAGGCTTAACTCCATGTTCTCTGACAGTTGCAGGCATCCTGCAAAAGATAAAACATAATGTGGGAGGGGTGGGGGCTGGGCCTTCTGTTTAATAAGTTTAAAGCCCGCCCCTATTCAATTATTTGATGATGCGCTTAGCACCTCCACCCCATACAATGACAGCAGCTTCTATTTGATCTCATAACACGTATTTTCACTTCTAATTTGCTGGGTCAACATAAAAAACAACGAGGGGAATGAGACTGCATTCGTATAATCTTCTCCTCTTTATAGTTTATGGGCAGATTCGATAATTCCGTTTTCTAATCAATTAAAATAGCCGATTTATTGTTATTGAATTTATTCCTTTGGTTAAATTGTGAAACCGTTATTGTACTGATCATTCTCAAAATTCAGTTTAAGATAGAAAGCCTCTAAATGCTCATTCTTTATATCTGAAACTGTTTTGTTGATCAAACAAAATTTTATTTGAAATCAAACGGATTTTTATTTGAAATTTACTTTCAATTATAGAATTTTCAACCGCTCGTTTGATTTCTATGACAGGGTGTGTGGTTAATGCAGCAACCTTGTCTAGTCGATCACACGCTCTTCTAAACACACAGTTCCTCCATATTTTAAAATAAGCCTTTCATTCTGGAAAATGTTGTAAAACCCATAAATATATGTCTCCGGCATTTCAAGCGTTCAAGATAAACATTACTGTGGCAACGCGTGATGTTTAGTTTTCCAGTTACGCAAGGCAGGCATTAGTTTTTAGAACACGTATCGTTAGTTTTTACAAGGGAAAATATTACTTTTGTTTCTGTCTGAACAGTACAGGTGACACTTCTAAGAGAAGCAGACAGTGAAATATGTTGAACAGGGAGAAAGCTATGAAAGTATAATGATTTAGATCATTTAAAGTTTGGATCATCATCATCATCATCATGTAGCAGGTCCTTTGCAGAACGTCGCTCTCATCACAGTCTGCATGTAAGAAACTCGGTCTCTTGCCAGTTCTCCCGCCTCATAAAATTTCACACTCAAGGAGTCACTTATATCCTGTGCCCATATTCGTGTCGGTCGGCCCACCGCCAACTCTAGATTTATAGCTAAAGATGGCCGTGGGTTGGCCTCTGCCCCTCCTTCCTGGTACCATGCCTTCTGCTATAACTTTTTCCAATCCGTCGTGGCGCTTGATATGACCAAAATATTTCAGCTTTCGAGAAAGAATGCTGTTTATTAGCCAATCTTCCTTGATGTTCAGATCTTTTAAGATGTCATTATTTAAAGTTTGGATCAGCTTTTCAAAAAAGAGCATAATTACAACAAACAAAGGGTGATGACGCAAACCAAGAAAAGAAACAAAATAATGAAAGAAACTAGACCAGGGTACTGTAATATTTGGTAAAATGTAAAACTAAAATGAGCAAGCACAATAAAATGAAATATTTGGTACAGATTTTTT